CATCAAGTAAAAAGCCTCTCCTTTTAACATGGTTCACCCCATGTCAATAAACGAGACTCGGGAAATCGAGCCATGGTGATATAACAATTCTACTCGTAGCAAATGAAATGTTAAAGGCAAGGAGATTGAAGGTAAAGCTCCAAGAATTGTTAATCTCACTGCTGTATGTAAGAGAGTGATTAGAGTCACGCTTCGTCCACATTATCCCCAGAGAGTAAGGCTGGGTTGGCCCCAGAACCGGTCTGGATCTGATGGTGAGAAGATCTTGCCCGCTGTTACCAGACACGAAATTGAAACCTCGTCTTCCAGTAATTGAAGGAATGTGGAACTTGATCTCTGCGTTGATCATAGATCATAGGATCGAAAGTGTTTGTTAACAGAAGTTCTTAGGATGATATGAAGATCCAAGAGACGGGAGTAACCGGAGACTTGAGAAAAATGCGTAATCAGAACCTTCTTAATTTGTAATCTGATCAATTTGCGGATGTTGAGATTGGATGGGTATGTAGCACACATGATAGACGAGAAGTACATATCAATTTTGTTTGGAAAACCTGAAGGATAGACACCATCTGGAGGGCCCAGGCGTCGGTGGGAGGATAATATTAAAATGTATCTAAAAAAAAATTGGATGTTGAGTAGGTTGTACATGCTTGGGATAGGATGCATTGCTATGGCAGCCTCATTTGAGGAATTGGATGTTGAATAGGTTGTACATGCTTGGGATAGGATACATTGCTATGGCAGCCTCATTTGAGGAAGTTATTTGAGCGACTGTTTGGTTCCTCAAGGAGGGCTTCTCCCCACGTAGTTTTAACTTCTGTTATGTTTGCTGGAATATTGTCCCAAGTAAGCCTTGGAGATTTTAACGGTATTCTCCATGCTCCTGAAGACATTTTTCTGCTAATTCCACTCCTCTTGAGGTACTTCGTCAAGCGTCTTTACTTATTTTGGTGGTTCAAAACAATACCAAAATAACTGCATTTAGGTCTTGTCTGACAAATTTTCCGAATGTCCACCGTCTCTCATCGCAAGTGCAGAGGGATGTCTGCCTGACGCTGGGACAGTGGTGAGCTAAGCGACGTTCAGACTTCCCACTGTCCGTCCACACCTACACGTCTCGGCGACTGCTAATTTGATATTTCCGGTGAGTGGTCTGAACGCGAGATGGTTTGATCACATGCTCCAGTAGTCAGCAGGGACCGTTCTCCGTGGGTCGGAGGATTAAATTGCTCACAGTGGCAGCACAGAGGAACAAACCCATTTTTTATCCTCCATTTTCTTCTCTTACTTTGATCTATCTATATTCTTTCGTGCTGTATTGCTACTATATATTCCTGCCTTAACTTCAATTCTTAGCTTTATTATATATTGAGATTCATTCACTTTGCTCGAATCTTCATGAATCGTTATTCTGACAAATTAATAACTTATTTTGGGATCTAACCCGGGACTGTACGAAAACACTATACCATCGTCGAATGTCATCACTTCTTGATCTTCAGACGATAATAAATCTGTCAGCATGACAACCAGTCACATGAAGATGGGAGTAGACCCAACTACCGAAACATATACGCCTGCGGTTTCCAAAATTCTTGGTATCATTGCCAGCAACCTTTGGAGAAGCTTCTTTCCGCGAAGTTTTCCCGCACAAAATGTTGCATGCTTTTCTTGTTTCGGCTAGGCGTCTTGCGTCCACGGTCTATCACAAGGTCCTCCATTTAACCAATCCAAATTGTCTTGGTGGTGACGACAAGCCATGAATCTAGTCGTAATGTTTTTCAGTAATTATATTTTACAAGATGGTAAAGTTGCGTCATATTGTGATATAATAAGTATATATTAAATCTTGTCCGTCTAATCACAATAATTCTTATTAAATATTAAAATATTACAATAATTAACATTTAAAATATTTAAAATATTAAATGATGCTCTTTATCGAAATATTCGATTTACATTAGACCATCATTTTTCATGTTTCACGACATGTTTCAGTTCCTAAAAGAACCATCCTCAATGTTAATTATTGTAATATTTTAATATTTAATAAGAATTATTGTGATTAGACGGACAAGATTTAATATATACTTATTATATCACAATATGTACAAGTTGATCTCTCATGAATCTGTGTCGTGTTCCCATTTCAATGAGCGGATAAATGATTTGTATCTGTTTCTCCTCGCGCTTGCTACATGCCTTGTCCTTTTCCATTTCATCACCGTCAGTATTAACGGGGGAGTAATACTTGTGTGGAGTAACGCAGTTTTCGAAGTGGACTCATAGACGGCGGGTCATCGTCTCCGTTCGTCCACTTATCCGCGTCTTTAATTTTCATTTCCAGAACGGAGTCCGGAGAAAGGTGTTTTTTTTTTTTTGGGGGGGGGGGGGGAAGGGGATCTCCAGTAAAATTTGCCGGCAGAATTTATTCTTATTTGCACACCTTTTTACAGAAATCTTATAGTACAAAATATTGGCACGAGATGTCAGACCCCTTCATGGTAAATATTTAATTTAATTCTATCTGTGCTGTGATATAGGCATGCGAAAAAATAACATGGGCATTAATGTCTTTGCATCTGATTAATTAATATCAAGGCTAATGAGTCGAGCAGAATGTCAGATGAACATATCACACTGTCGCCCAAACAGCTGTCCACGCCATGTAGGCGCTGGGTGGGAGAGGAGATATAGCCCCTACTCGATTTTGACATCGGTACTGGTCAGCACTTTGCCCTCGGGGGAAGAGACCCCCCAGTAACCGATGGGTGAGTCTCATAGAAGGTCTGGACTTCGTTGTTAAGCGCGCAGAATTTTTGTTCTGCAGTTGATGTAGCGTTGTTATATAAATCGTACGACGGTAGGTAGCAATGTGTCTCGCATGGGTCATTGGAAGTTACGTGAGATGGAATGGAAGATGAAGGAAAGGCGAACTTGTGTTTCTCCGTATATTCTTTGTCCTCTCGCGTGGCTGGCTGCTGTTGTGTTAGATGACGGGCGTCCACACTCGCTCATGTAAGCTTTGCTTCGGTTCCTCCCACTCTCTAGTTTCATCACGAAAGTGGAAACAGCAAGATGAAAGAGTTGTTTGAACTAAAGCAAAACAACGTTTGTCCTACTCGTTTCAGTGTACACACTCTGACTACAACCCTTTCCTCTCGTTGGTCATGCCCGGTTTTGTCGAAACTTTGTAGTTAAATCTGAAAAAAGAAAAAAAAAAGCATCGTAGTGCGTCAGTAGGAAGATAGTCGTGTATGAATAAGCTAACTTCGTTGATTCTCCAAGCTTTTGTGTTCATCAGGAGGAAGTCGATTATGCTTTGATAGCCTCTGACTTGGGGGCAGTGTTCAGGAAAGTTTTCGCTTGACACTTGAGTGAAAAGTATAGACGTCGAGTCGTGTTTTGAAAAGACTTCACAGGATTTGAGATTTAAATTGAACGGGTGTGAAACTTCATTTATCACTCTTAGGGAAGAACGTAGAAGGGAGTTATTCAGGAATGAAGTGGTTTCCAGTATTTTGACCTAAGAAAGTGAACGTAACAGGAGAATGGGAGAAAACTGCGTAATTAGGAGCTTCATAATTTATAATTTGTAAAGGTGATTAGGTTAGGTTAGTATTAAAATTGGCTGTCATGGTGGCCACGCGGTCTGAGGCGTGGGCCTCGTGTCCCTTGGTCGCTGGGACCGTGGGTTCGAATCCCACTCAAGCCATGGATGTCTGTCCTGTGTACAGGTAGAGGCCTTGCGACGGGCTGGTCCCTCGTCCAAGGAGTCCTACCAAAATGTCTATAGATATTTTATTATCTTAATTATAAGAAATTTTAAATATTGTGATAAGACGGATTAAAATAAATAATTGTCAAAATGTCTATATAGATCAAGGCAACGAAAAGTTGGGACCCGCAGTGCTCAGGCACTTGAAGAACGGGTCGTTCCCAGTATCCTAAGTAAGTAATATTAAAATGGATCAGAATGAAGGGGTGAACTGGAATCAGCTGGCTCAAAATTGGGTCCTGTGGTGGTCTTCTGTGAATATGGTAATATTTGTACACCTTCGGGTTCACTAAAAGCTGAGCAACTGTCAGCTTCTCATGCGTTATGGAATTAGTTAAATTGAGTTGACAAGAATTGCCCTAGTAACTACTTAAGTCAGTAAAATGAAGAATCTGATAGAGTTCTCAGGACAGGAAGTGCTTCTTCAATTAGGCAGCTTTTAGAAGTACTTCTGAAGGAGTGGAAGATATGAAAGAAACAATTCCTATTTAAGTAGCGTTTGTTGGACAAAATGAGTATTTTACAGATGTTATTAATTGTATGTTTTTTTTATATTTTAGGAAGAATTTTTTACTGATGTTATGTTAAAATTTTTTAAAACTAGTTTGTAATTGTTCTCGTCATGCTTAATCAATAATCTATTTTTGTAAAAAAAAAAAAATTATATTCATAATTTTACTAGCCCATTGGTTACTGCCTTCAGATTGAAAATTAAATCATAATTTTTGCATGGCTGTCATGTTTCCATTTCATATTATCATTGTTCCATAGTTGCGTGTTGACACACTGCGTAGTTCTAATTTCAGAACCACACATTAAATGGCGCTACTGTTGCAAAAATCTCGTAAGTTCCGATATCTGCCGCGATATTAATTATTGCGCCCTTTACAGTTGTTGGTGGAAAGTGAGTTTCCATGAAATGTTCCTTTTAGAAGATGAAAGCACGTAATTTTACCGATTTTCCTTTCCCACCGCAGGTCGCAATGAGCTGATTGCTAGATACATCAAGCTGCGTACAGGAAAAACGAGAACCCGGAAACAAGTGAGCTCGCATATTCAGGTGCTTGCCAGGAGGAAGCTCCGAGAGATACAGGCCAAACTCAAAGTGGTAAGTATAATTAAGTAACACACTTGCTGCTGTGAGAACCTCAGATCTCACCAGGTAAATAGCAGTTTCGTTAACAAAACAGTGCAAAGGAGGTTTGTGCGTTAAGAGGACAGGCATTTTGACAGATTATTATTGAGGTAGAGCGGCCGATTGTGGGTTTGAATCCCGTTTGAGGCATGGACGTATGTGTCTGTCCTCCGAAGGTAGAAGAGGCCTTGTGATGGGAGCAGTCCCCCGATTCACGGACTCCTGCCAAATGTTGAAAGGTGTACAAGATGGCAGACAAATTCTTCAGAAAGGTCAAGGTTCAAAGTGAGCTGTAACACCTGCTTGGTGGTGTGAAAAGTGCATGCCAAGTAACTGACAGAATTGATACTTTACAAAGATCGTAGATGGTTTGCCAGATTGGCGGACAAATTAAATATCATTCACGTCCAATCACAGGGCAGGTCACGTGGGATTTTAGGTTGAGAAAAATTGTTTTCTCTCTTAAGTGCTTTGGTTTGGGAAAAAGTAAGGCGTCAACCAGACGGAGGCTGAAAATTGAACCGAACTACTCGTGATCACATCTTAAATCACGATGATCTATTTTACTTTATCGATACTGTAGCGAAAGTTTATTGAAGTAACAAAAGATTTCATTCATGAATTTTTTTCTTGTTTATTCAAGTAAGACGCAGAACATTTTTTGCAATTTTTTTGTTTTTGTTTTGCAATCTCAAAAAAATTATTTGTGCTCGTATCATTAAAATTGTCGAATTTAAATGAAAATTACAAAAATATCTGTAGTATTACATTTAATTAAAATTGAGTTATGTTGGGTTATCCATTCTCGTGTTGATTCTTACGTACAGTTTAATGGTGGTACCACTGCATCAGATGAACTGCACGTTAAGTCAATTAAGGATGTCAGAGATTGTGGTTGTGGTGTGTTTGATGATTGTACCGTCGTGGCATTTCTTTGGAGGGACTAAGTAAAACCTCGCCTCAGTCAGGATAGATGATTCTGGGCCAAGATTGAGACCAGAAATGTCGCAAACACATGACGAGCATTTACGCTGAGTAGCAGAATTTTATTAAAAAAGCTCTTCAAGTATTCGAGGGATCTTGTTTTTTGAAGAAACATTGCCGACTGTACGGGTCATACGTAGCGCCAAATGGCAGGATGATGAATTTTAAGGGTTGTGGAAAGAAACAGTTGCGATGTATCTTGAGGCACTCTTTGAGCACTCGCCCAGAGGGATTGAGAGAAATGATATAAAATCACACACAGTCTGGTTGGTCTCTGTGCTAAGGTGTGATCCCTGGACCTCCCATGCAGAAATTAAGAGAGCTAACGACTACAACGTAATGTTTTGTCTCCTTAGTTTTTAAGGTAGTTTCTTTAACGATGCCCAGTTGGGAACTAAGAATTTGATCTTTTGGGTGGTGATGGTTGTGTTGACATGACGTAGTCTCCCACTCAGGACCATGCAGCGAAAGAGAAGGCTCTCCAAACTATGTCCAGCATGTCGAGTGCACAGATTGTGTCGGCCACAGCAATCCACAACAAAGCTGCAGCTGCAGGGTTGGCCAGCCTGGGCTTAGCATCGCCCGTCTCTTATCCTGGTGCTGTGAGTATGGATTAGATAACCTAACTTACTTCAGCATTCTCTGTGCCCTTTGAGTCGATGTAACCTGCTTTTTTTCGAAGCACTCGAGACCTGGTGGGCCCACTTACAGGGTTAAGGTAGCTGCGTTGCATCTCAAGCCCTGAAGATGTTGGCAGAGGCCAATGTGATAAAGGAATATTCCTGGGGGCATAGGCCACAGGTAGACGCAAATAATATTATTACGATGAATTATCTCCCAGGTGTGTGGTCACAAACGTGCGTTTGTTCACCGCAGAAAGCAGTTAACGTTAATACGAGGACCGCTTTACGCTTGACTCCTTGTTCCGCTTATTGTAATAAGTGGATTCCTTGTCACCATGGCGTGATGCATCCCTGGATTAGGAAGGAGTAGGTCGTTTCCATATCTGGATAAATAAAATCTGGCATCGTGGTAACAAGTGGTCACTTTAAATGTACCAGCTTGGTATGAAAAATGCCAAAACGTTCCCACAAATTGACATAAACTATGTATGATTGACCTCCAGTAAATGAACTGGTAAGAAATAATGATAAAAGCTTTAATTGGAGCTGCTAATTAATGTGTTAGCTGCTTGTTATTTTACTAATGATTTAAATGGACAATAAATGCAAATTTTGATTTATTTTCAGCTTGAGACCGTAAAATATAGCTCAGAATATGACAACCAGTTAAATCCAGTTCACATCTTCGCAACCTAGTTGTAGAATGTTCATTTTAATATTATTTTTCCATGCCTATCTCAAGTCTTGACGGTAAAACCACTTTCCAAGAAATTTTCCTGCCAGAATTCTGTGCTTGTTCCCGCCATCAGATCTCCATAGTCACATGATGATAACATTAGTAGGAAACTGTAAAAACTTTGAAACTTTCTTTTTAAGGCATGTTTGCACTAGACTTGTAGAAATGTGCTTTCTAGTTTTTCCTTGTCTGTGTGCCTGTCCATCTGCATATAATAACTTGAAAATGATCGAATGGGGTTTCATTGTATTTGTTATTGGAGAATTTTTCTAAATTTTATTGACACATTTCAATTTTTGTCCAAAATGGACAACAGAAATGGGCACACACATAAATTTTTGCGCGTGGAGGTGACTCGTGGGGAATTCTAAACGACCTCGGTTACTTGGAGAATTCCTGCATGAGGAATTTCCAACCAGCTATGCAACCATGTCCAGAATTCTCCGTGATGATGTCACCACGCACCCTGCCGTGCAAAGGCCATTAATCCAGACTATTTTGATATACTGGCACCATGCGTGAAGGTCAAAGGTCAAATTCTGGTGAACACACAAGGTTTATTATTTTGTGCATGCATTTCCTAACTTATTTATTGATATCTGTAGAGTTTAAACTGGTTATGAAACTGATTCGACGTCACAAGTGGCTCAGGAAATTGTTGCTAGACAGAAGAGCCATAAACAAAATTGACGCAAGTCCCAGTTGTAAAATTTAGCACCTCACTGCGATTTACCTTTAATGTGAGTTTTGATATTGATTGCTTTTTGTTAGCAGTTCTGGCAGCCAGGGTTGCAGCCAGGAACATCGCAAGAGTAAGTATTTTAACACGACGTACGACATTATTCACAAGTCATTTGAATCCTACGTATATTACAGAACATTATTTTCAGAATTTACGTGACAGTGGTCAATTCAGTACGGTACAATTGTATCGGACAAAGTTGGGGTAGTTCGGTCAGTATAGTGAGTGGCTATGGATGGACTGGACGACGACTGGTTCGATCCCTGACGGTGGCAGAGGATTTCTCCTCTAGCCTCTGTGCCCACCCAGCCTCCTATCCAATAGGTAGTGGCGTAGGATTTGAGGTTCACTTCTATAGGTCAAATAGCAGCCAAAGGTGAACCTCCTGTGACCAAATGTTGCTGGTGCTTGAAGGATTATTTTATACCATAGTTCATATTTGTTAAAAGTTGGCACTGCTGTGGCGCTGTGGACAAGGCTTATACTTTAAATCTTGGGGAACAGGGGCCTGTCTTGTAAATGTTATTCAGTTTTTAAGAAACAATCTGGTAGTCGTTACGTAACCTTGACAGTTCTGGGATCAACCCTTGCTGAAATTGCGTTGTTATTAATGTCAATTGCAGTGTGAAGCCGTTTGCGCAGCCTGGCTATGCAGGCAAACCAGCTACAGCTGTGTCATCCAGTGACATGAGTCTGCAGGCACCGCCCCCTCCGCCGTGGGAAGGGCGGGCTATTGCCACGCACAAGCTGCGCCTTGTCGAATTCTCCGCTTTCATGGAACAGCAGCGAGATGCGGACACTGTACGTGTTGAGTATTTCTTATTTTCTCTGTTTATAAATTTGCTAAGATATTTTTATTATTAAAATGTTTTTGGATGTACTTTTATGCAATGCAAAAAGTTAATTAATAAAAAGGGGAAGTAATGACCATCCACATGTTTCATCTGTAAAAGTTCTGAACATACTTTTCAGTATAAATTAAATTTTTGTGTAAGGGGGGTCTCGTATCAATTTTTTTGGATGATTTAATTTTGATTTATATTTGTCTGATATATTCATGCTTTGCATGAATTTTTTTATGTGGCATGTTATGTGGGCCTAGCATAAACAGCAGCACTAAGAACGACAGTGTACTATAGGAAATGAGTGTTTTTAATTTTATTACAAGAAGTTACTGATTTTATATTTTAATTTGAAATCATTTAAATCTGCTATTCATTCTTCGATAGCCACGGTGGTCTAGCGGTTAGAACGCTGGCCTTGTAATCCTGGGGTCTCGGGTTCGAATTTATAACTTGTGTTGGGCAAGGCCGTGGTCTAGGCAACACGGAGTTTTCCTCCGTGGCATCCCAACAATTACTCCATTCACACACAGAAGAAGGCAATGGCAAACCACTTCTGGATCATCTGCCAAGAACGTATATGAACAGGTCCCAGTCCGAGAAAAGGATGGAAGGATCCTGTTCATATGGACCTGTCGTCAGACAGAACACTAAATAATAAAATAATTCATTCTTCCTGAGTAACTCGCCGTATAAGTATGGCGATACAGTCCAGTATACCAGAGACTGTCCATCATTAGGGTTAATGTGACAAGTGACATGATCGCTCATTTTGTCTGCATCCACGACCGGTTCTTGGAGCCCCCTGTCCTTGTCCATGAATGAACCGATATGAACAGTGGTTGGAGTCTGATGATGCCTACTTACACGGCTGATTGCCTGAGAAGGCTACGTGCATTCAAATCATATGTAACCCTGTGATATGAACTTTGTGATCTTAAAGTGTCCGTAAGTTAGAATTTGGTTTTCCTTTTGTTTTTCAGTATCATAAGCATCTCTTTGTACACATAGGAGGATCAGTCACGTACGCAGATCCACTGTTAGAGGTGAGTTTTGTCCTGACGTTCAGTATTAATTTAATCTAATTCTATATTTATGTATATATTGTGCTTGGAATTGAATGGGACATGTCAGCTGATGCTATTAATTTATGGGGCAGAGCAGAATTTTGGTTGTAAAGTTTGTAGGAAAGAGACCATTAAGAAAATCTAGAAGTGTATGGGAAGATGATATTAAAATGGATCTTCGGGAAGTTGTATGGGGGTATGGACTGGATTCATCCGGCTATGAACTGTTAACAATCTCTTGTGAATGTGATTGTGCCCCACAGTTGTGTTTGGTTGTGGCAGCGTGAAGTTCTTACTCCTATAAAGCTTGTGAAATTCTTGCGAATTTGGAATGACGTGATCAAGTTGATGATTTAGATTTGTGGTTGAAAAGCAGTGAATCGAAGCGTCAATGTTTTAATTAAATTAACAAAAGAAATATCATGGTTTGACACAGTATTTTTTTTTAACTTATTTGATTCCTTTTCTTTATATACAGGCTGTAGATGTGAGACAGATCTATGACAAATTCCCTGAGAAAAAGGGAGGTCTCAAAGAACTCTATGATAAGGGGCCACAGAATGCATTCTTTCTTGTCAAGTTCTGGGCTGACCTTAATACTAACATCCAGGATGAGGCAGGGGCATTCTATGGGGTTACCAGTCAGTAAGTATAAATCAGCCTCTTGTTGTAAGTTTGGATTAATTTCTTCCATGATTATCTTTATTTTCACGCATCATTCTTAAACATTAGAATGTAAATGCTACGGGCAGTTTCTTTGTTTTCGGTTTGCGTAGTTGCTGTTGTCATTTCATGTATTTATAAATTTTATAACCTTAAGACCAATCTTGGAATACTTGACTTGTGATGTCTGATTAAAAATTACGCTGTGCTGTATAGACTGACATTTCAGAAGTACTTACTGCTTCCATCATCAGGGAGGCGGTGAGCACCTCTGAAATGTTGATCGGCATCTCCGAGACTGCGCGGTGCAACATCCTAGAACAACGCATAGAAAGTGCTCGTCTGTTACAGAATTTGGTTCACAAAACAAAGTTCAGTGTTCTTCATATCAGCTGTTTGCATCTTGAGCCAAGTAGTGTAGATTCTTTGTTTTGGTCCAGGATGCATCATGGGAATTGATGTAATTTAACCTTCCCCCCCAAAGAATAAATTGGTTCTGATTCTTGTAGGTATGAGAGCAACGAGAACATGACCATCACGTGCTCCACCAAAGTGTGCTCGTTTGGCAAACAAGTGGTTGAAAAGGTTGAAACAGAATATGCAAGGTTTGAGAATGGCCGCTTCGTGTATCGCATCCATCGTTCGCCCATGTGCGAGTACATGATCAACTTCATTCATAAACTGAAACACCTTCCAGAAAAGTACATGATGAACAGCGTGCTTGAGAACTTCACCATTCTGCAGGTAACCACTAAGTACTCCTGAATCTTTTGTCTTTATCTCATTCCTAAGAAACTAAGGTTTACTATATAAAACTGAGCATTGTTCTGAAGTCTGAAGATGGCCATCTTCTAGATGGTTGTGCCACGTCGTCTGGTAGAAGTTTACCGACGGCTGCGTCCTTCATCAGGGCGATCGCCTCGATGGTGAGACGGCAAGGACCTATGAAACGTCGGTAAACTTCTACCAGACGACGTGGCACAACAACCCAGAAGACTGCCATCTTCAGACTCACCGCCGTGAGCACCTCAAATCCTATGTTCCGAAGTTTCCTATAGTCATGTGTGAATAATATGTAGCTTCTTGTATAAGTTCCGTTGGGCAGGCAGTAGGTTCAGCCGGTGGTGAAATCAGAAGTCTTTCTGTTTATGCTGCGTCATCAGTTGGCAGAAAAGTGTGGAATGTTATTATTTATTTACTTAAATCAATCACAGCAAATCTGCAAGTGTATTATAGAGGGTTCCCTTTGTAATTGGTTATTCTGAACACCATGTTTTGAACACATGCTGAACGATGGTTTGTACATATGCGTAACTCTTTATCAGTAAGTCAAAACTTGTTGAATTTTATCATGTGTCACACTCTGATAAGTAGTACTTGTCTCACATAAGTACCGTATTTTATAAATATAAATTGCACCTGACTTTTAAGAATGAAATAATAAAAAAAAAATATATAATTATATCTCAAGTACCGATCAAATTAAGAAAAATTTCAAAAGGCACTGGGGTTAACTGTGGCGTAACTTCATTTTTTGGGTTTCGTCATCATCATCATCAAATAAGACTAAAAATCAGTCAGTTAATAATCATTTTGAACTCTAAAATGCAACGTTCCATCTGAACCTTCTTCTGATGCGTGTTACGTTCTTCTAATGTTCTAAATCCCTGAGATGACATTGAATGCTTTCAGGTGGTGACAAATCGGGAGACGCAGGAGACGTTGCTTTGCACAGCGTATGTGTTTGAAGTGTCAACATCAGAACACGGTGCTCAGCACCACATCTATCGGCTGGTAAAGGACTAGCCGGTCTGCCCCGTTCCAGCCCCCCAACTCTTTCCAACAGTGCCTGTACACACGTTTGGTCATCGTGTGTTCATTTCCAGGGCTCCCACTGCTATAAACTACTGAGAAGCAGATTCTGAAGAACATTGTCAAAACAATTTCCAGTTCTTAAGACATGGGGTGGGAACCCTGGTTTGTTACGAGACTATAGTAGTATTATTATCTTTTGTTATTATTGACGTCTCATTATCCTTCCCCCTCACTGTGGATGGGCTACCAAAAAGGATATTCCCTTGGCTAGGGATGCAAATTGACAAAAGGAATATTGGATTGTAAATTTTTGTGATTTTTATTTTTCATCAGTTTGGTATAAATAACGATACAAAAAATAAGTGTCATATCTTTTACATTCGTAATGAAACTGTGATTGTTTTTAACGGTGGAAGTATCTTCATCCGGAATGTTTGACAAGAACAACCTTGTTTTAACACGTTTGGTGTAATTTTTGTCCATGACTCGTTTTGTATTACTGTGTAATTTTGTCCATGACTCGTTTTGTATTACTTCCAGTTACGTGTACACATTTATGTGGTTTATGATATTTTAGCGCATGGGAGGCGCTCCCAGATTCCTACGCGTCCCTATGACTTGAAAAGCCGGGGATGAATCATTGAACCAAACTGTGGTTTGTTAGGAAGTGTAATGCCAATTTGACATCCCTAAGCATTAAGAGTGCCACATAATTGAGGGATTGTACAGGGTGATTCAGACTTTATTTCAAAATTTCTGAAGATTGCTGTATTCCTGCGGTCATTCTCAGTCTGAAGTGTCCGGTGAATATGTAACTAATTCTCCATTCTCCATTATGGAGGTGTTCAGGAATGCTCTGCACGTATTTATACTGTGTTAATGTGTACTGATTGGTTTGTAATTAATGACAGAAGTGACTCATTTTCCTCCTGAATGTGTGATGCTAATAAGAACTTTGGAGTCATATATATGCATGGCTTTCATGGCCACGCAAAAAAAAAAATGAAGAGTTTGTTTGTTAAAACAGGGGGGAAATATAGTTACCGTTGGGCTTTAAAGGGTTAACAGAAAGTCGTTGGAAATTACTTCCCGCTGTTCCACGAGGATTTGCATTTGATCACAAATGATTGTGTTAATGACTTCACTGTGGGTAAACTGAGCCTCGCTAGTAATTAGTAATACAACTGAAAGGTTTTGTTAAATGAAGGACACAATTCTAACCTCTGAGCAAAGTTCCCAGGTTGAAGAGTTTTTTTGTGTATGGTACAAAGACAGAACTTGATCACAAAGTGTTCTATGGCTCTCCGGTCCATATTTGGTCCACAGCCTCCTCAATTCTCCTCTTCCGTTAGGTCCGTCTGTCCGAGGCTTTGATTGAGGTTTCGAAACGTCTTCCTTTTTACGGTGCAAGGCTGTTAGCCTTGCGACCAGCCCCCAACCTGGAGGACCAGGGTACCTGTCTTAGTCTGACCTCTGCCCCTCGACCAAATCTGGCTAGGGAGGCCCTACCAGTAGCTATGCTACCGCCAGCATAGCTCTTGGGGGCACTGAGGTACTCAAGCCCCACCACCACGACAAGGTGCAGGTACCATTAAGTGGGGACAAAGTGTTCTTTAGACTTTAATTTGCTGTACATGGAGGCACTTAGAAAATCTTCAGTTACTTACACTTAAATTGTGTTGTACTATTTTAGTGTTGTTTTCCTTCTCAACTGCGTTCTCTCTCGAGGACATTCAGGCGGTGAAAAAACACTGGGAAATTAACCACTTTCTTGCAGATGTGGTGAACACTTAAAAAAGCTTGTTGATCTGGATGTATTCTGTCTGCAGCATTTGTGTTATCATTGCAAATCCTATAAGTAAAATGCATGTCCTTATTTTCAGAATGTAAAAGACATTGACATAATTACTATTTAGTTTAAACAACTCTGGTACAATGCGTACCCACAGTTCAGTAACCACCGAGAATCAGGCCCACGTTCATAGGACATTTCAGATTATGAAAATGCTTCCGGAATACTGACATAAAATCATTAATCACTCTGTATATGAAATACGAATAGCAAATTAAATTTGAGCGTTAAAAACGGCAATTTTTTGATCTCTCTTGTAGTCAAACAATATTTTCAGGGTGAGAAAAAGAAGTGTAGTATTTTGCAGTTTGGCAGCTGAGAGCTTTTACTTAAAAATTAATTATTAATAAAAATAAGTCCAAATGACGTATCAAGATGTGCTTGTTATTGAGATGCAGCATCACTATTATTATATATATAAATATGAGATATATATATTTATCATATGTCTTCTGTGAAGATGTAAACCACTCTCTCACCACTCATGCCGCATCTGTCACCTCAGCCGGCTGATTTCTCGGCTCAGTGAGCAAATACGCATCTGATTCGGCATCGAGTCTCTTCACCGACCACCGACAGCGTTCATCATTCAATCGCTTGTGTACATATATTCAGACTATGATGATGGCTGGCATTGGTTTGTTAGTTTTATTTTATTGATAAGCATTGTGCCAAGCGCAAGAGAAAAACATAAATCAAGAAGGGTCTGGTGAAAGATATTAAGAAAGTTTATTAACACATATTTAAAAAAAAAGTTGGCCATATCTTGAACTGCCATATCACAGTATAGATCAACCCTTTGTACTTAAAGTAAAAGAATGTACCAGGAATTTCTAATTAAAGGTGATGCAAAGTATTCAAAAATTATATCGTATGAGACGGATGAAATTTATGTTATTTTTTTTTAATCATCGCAGTCATGCACTTTGTTAAGTGCCTTTCTGTACTCTTCACATTGACTGAGTCATATCTAATAATTGTGCTTTATATGCAGAAATTTATTTTAGGGACAGTGATTGGTCAAGAAGTCGTTAGTGGCAATAGTAGAAGCCTTCGTCTGGGTTTGAGCAGGTGAAGGGTAACACGTGCCATGTTTCAGTCTGTTATGCTGAGGGTGACATTGTAGATGGATTATCAAACAAAACTTCTTTTTAATCTTTAATAACGAGGCATGTTTCGTACTTCTTTTTATAAATGACGTAGTAAAGTTTTTATTTTGAATATTCTGGTAGAGGACCATTCATTAACCAGTAAATCCATCTTAGTTATGTACTTGAAGACTCTTGACCAAAATTTGTCCTCTGTGGTGACACGAGGAAGTATGTCTAATGGTAATCATCCCAAGTAGAGAGATTTTATGAAACAATATTTTCCATTACATTGTCATTGTGATAGAATATTTCTTATACTGCACCCAACAGTTTGTGTTTTTGTTACAGTATGTGTGAATGTAACATAGTCTTATTTTTTAGTGTTTATAATAATAATAATAATAATTATTATTACGCGGGACAGAATGAAGACTTGACGAGTCTTCTCACTGTCCACAATTTATTTTAGTTCTAGAAAGACTCAAGTGTTGTAAACACATTTTTTTGTACAAAGCCACTTCCTTTTTTTAATTTTCCAAGTTGCCATATCTGAAGACGTCAAGTTGTACCAAGAAACAGAGAATTATATTTTACAGTTTACTTCTTTGGTACGTGAGAATTTATTTTTCAGCTTCTGGTTAAATTATGCTGTAACTTAAACTGTTCTTGGTGCAGAGTGATGTTTTCTTTAAATTAGTGTAACAAATGCTATCCTTACAATTTGTAAAGAGATTTCATGGGTTGATTGGTCAACATTGTGCTTTGTGCCCTTCTGCGTACGTGACTTTTTACTCGTGTTTAATAGCGAATAGCACGTGGTGTTTGTGCAGAAATATGGAATTTTTCTATGACTCTGCTTCTACTTTCACGTTAGAGGCAGTGATATTAATGTGTCATATATTCCAGTTTGGTACACGCCATTACTTGTAATTCAGAGCAACAGTTGACCATTGCTTTATGAAATTTCAAGATACTTTTCACAATTCTTCTCCAGTTTTTGTGTAGGTTGTGTTATGTCGTGATACGAGAATTTTTTGTTGTACTATTTTACATCTGTTTGCTGCAGCTTTTTTTAATGTATTTGGTTTGGGTTTTTGTTTGATTCCTCTAGCTTTGTACTGTAGTTGGAAGCTATTTTTATTGGCACAGAACAAATGTGTACCACTCTCTAGTATCAACCTAGATGTGGCAGCAAAACTGGAAAACAAGAAAAAAAAAGTGAATGAGAAGGAAAATAAATTACGGACACTTTTGTACAGTTGTAATATTATATTTTGTTGGAGAAACAGTTCTCTCTGTCACTATTTCCTTATCTTTATATCTTCTTGGAACAGACAGGTTCATACAGCACTAATGTATTTTTATGTTGGACACTGCCCATTCTGAGAAACTGGCCGAGGATGGAATTTAATTGCTGTATGGTGCCTATAGCAAAAAAAGAATTTTTGTTGGAAAACCAGAAGGCATCAAGTTACTGTGGATCTAGAAAGGGACTGCCATCTACCTTTTCTGGACATCTGGTCAACCGACACCCAGACAACAGGAAAATGACCCACACAGACATACCTGCGGCTTAAAAGAGATCATCATCACCACCCTGATGGATAGAACAAACACTATCTGTGAAGAGTCCAGCCGGACCTCGGAACTACTTGTCCGATCCATTCTCTGAGCCAATGGCTACTCCCTGCAGGATATTAAGGGAACATCCAGACCCAGACCCGCCAGGAGAAGCACGACAAAAAACAGTAAGCACAGAGCACACCACCATAAATCCAAGGAACTACTGATTGCATTTCCAGACTTCAGCAGAAACATGACATCCACACAATACAAACACAAATAAACAAAATGGCCACTCAATTCAATTCCACCAAAGACAGCTCCCAAATGTAAAATCAGGTGTTTACAGGATCCCATATTCTTGTGGAAAGGAGTACATTGGACAAATTGGCTGTCATATCTCCATCAGGATTATGGAACACGTAAGAGACACCAGACTGGAGAGCCAGAGATCAGTGGTGGCTGGGCTTTTAACAGCCACCAGACACAGCATTGACTTTGATAAAACTGAAGTCGCTGCCAACGTCAGCAGCTACTGTCCCTGCATAACAAGAGTAAGCAAAGCCTGGCTGCACCTGTTTATCCCAAAATGACTGACTCCACCAGGCCCTTAAAAGGGCAGGTCAACCTTCAACTCTCCCAACCGCATGGTCAATGAAAAAAACCTGCCACTCCCTTCCAATTAATCACCGGAAATCCTTTTCAACATGGTCACCAGAACCTCATCACCTCCTTTCCTCAACCACGTGTTCCTCTCCCATTGGATATCATCCAGCTCCACCAAATTTATCTCGGCACAGTTTACCGTTGGCATTTCATGTGCAAGAATGGTGTAACTTAGCTTGCTTAGGACTCCATGTTTAGTTTTCTTTTTCGTTTGTTGCCCCATGTTATCCGCAGTGCAGATGGCAACTGCAATGTTTGCTGAAATGTAAGTTGACACCCAATATCAAACATGGCTCTCACCCGAGAGCCAAAGTTATTAAAAATAGAATGGTAGATAAAAAAATAATTCAGGAGGATGGAGGAGGCAAAAGGAATGCAGACTCTAGGAGCTATTGATAAATATTTAGCTAGAACATTTGATGGAAAAGTGAATATTTTTTGAAAATGTTCACGAGATGTTATGTAAATCCACATTAATATAGAGATGGAGGGTTTAGAGGGAGGCTAGAAGGAGATTGACAAAACTTGTTGGAGATTTTGTAAGAAAATAATACAGATACCCAAATTTGCATCAAAAGGGGCAGGTGATGAGACACTAGAAGGGGCAACGTAATGAGCATGGTAGTGAAATGTTGATTAAAAATGTTCTATATGAAAAATGGAGATTTATTGAGAGTGTGTTTAGATTGGCAAATGGGTGATTTAAAAGTCATTAGCTGGGCAAAGAAACTGACAGGAGAAACAGATTAGCATTAGCATATTTTTGGCAAAACCAACAAAAGAGTTGAGTAGGACATGTAAAATAATTTGTTTAAAAATATAAGAGGAAAGATTTTATTGGTATTTTACTGTGAAATAAAGTGAAGGAGTAATGTAGAATACACTGGTTGCTGTACAAGGAGAAAAATGGGATGGCATGGCTTTAGGTATTTGGATATTGAAGATGTTGAAAACAGATTATTAAACTATTTGGAAACAGAAAGGAAGAGGGAGACATTTTTATTTAATAAGTGGCTTTGTATAGGCAAATGAAGATTTAGCCTGTAAGAGAATAATAAGGCTTCAGATTTAAAAATTATTGGAATATACCTATATAAAGTTAGATGCAAGTGTATAGTCATGTCAGGGCAGTCTGACGTGCAGTTCCAGGTTGAAAGGAATGGGCACGTATCATACATAACGCTGTTAAAGCTTTAATTGCAGAACTGCACAATAAATCACGCATGGACTTTCAAAGGACAACACCTTTAACTGAAAACTGGTTGGAAATTGAAAACGAAGTTCTTACGAGTTTTAAGAGATACATCCTGTTGTGTGTTAATAGTTAGGTTGACAGTCCAGCTACACAACAATTTTTTTATTATAATTTAAATGTTTATTAAGATCCGCTAAATGTTTTGACCTTTCTTGGTCATCTTTAGGTGATTCTCTGTAAATGTTTGAAACTAATATATATGACTACTAAATTGTATATATTTTCTGTTGCTGACTACACCATGTAATGGATCATGTCTTCAGCAGCTTACATATTTAAGTAGAGTGGACTACGTAGTTGTAGTTAATGGTGGAAAAGTGTAGCCAAACTCTTTAAGTTCTTATTTCCACAGTATGTACAACATTTTAAAAATTTTCTTTTGGGTATTTTTGTAAAACTAACATTTTAATATGAAAGCATATTATTCTTTTTTAAAGGAAACAATATTAAGTGTTTTAAAATAGTTTTTAGCTGATTTGTAACATGAAAATCAATTTTAATTTCTATTTGCCACTATTTTTGTCCTATTTCTCTGTCACTAATACTTTTGTAAAAACAAAAATACCAGACACTATCATGCTCTCATTTTTTTCTTCAAATTAGATTTAATTGATTTGAAAATTCTTAATAGGCCACTGAATGGTGTAGCCTACTACTGTCACTCATCAAAGTACATGAGCTTTCTCACGTCTTCAAATACATCCCACATCAAACAAAAATGTTATGAAAATATGCTCTTGCAGATACTTCAGTGGTCAAGGATCATCAGACAAATACAGAATACTGCAATGCTATTGGTAGTCTGTGTAGAATAGTTTATTTTTATACCTAGTAGGTACTGTGGAAAGTCTCCTTTGCAAGAAACTGTTGAACATTTTTTTTTATTTATTTACTTATATAACAGGCAACTAAGATGTGATTTAAAAGGGGTCCATTAAGTATGAAAGAATATGAAAATATTTCAGTAGATTTCTCATGTTAGAAAGTGTGATTGTCTTTAGTCTAATTTAATTCAATTTTTAACACACTGCATAGGTAACAGACTTTTAAATAATAAATATTGATATTACATATCCTATGTTTGACACTTTCTTTAATATAGATGCTGGTGTGGCATCCAGGTACTTAAAAATATGTACAGAGCACCACCTGCACCACCCTGCTTAGATGTAAGTCAGAGAGTTAAGTCAGCGGGATCTAATTACTAGTGTAGCACTAAGGGGAACATGTAGAAAAGTTGTGGACCACAACCGTTTCTCTCTATTTAAAGCATGTATTGAGCCCTTGTTTCAGATATCTCCTTTTTTGGGGGAATAAACTGGTACCTAAAACTCCTGATGATTACATTTTAATTTAAATGGACTTTGACTCAAGATATACAAATAATTGGCAAACTAACATCATTCTTACTGAGTTTAAACTCTGTGAATCTCATACATTGTACATTGTGCACGGTTTTCACCACATGGTATGCTAGTTTAATGGATACCACCGCCCAAACAAAAATTGCTGCTGTATGCTGTGTAACTTCTTATAGAACATCGATAGTTTCCCTTCAGTGAGCGCACAACAAAAGGAATAGATTTATTACCCAGACGCCCTGAAGATGAGAGCAGAGATTGTTCTCGAAACATAGGCAGAAGATATTGTTTATTCACCGTTGAGCCACAGACTGCAAACTAAAGACCAAATAATTGACCGCATAAGCAGAAGGAAATTTATGCTGTGCGAAAATTAGTTCTTTATTATGAAGTTGGCGAAATCGATGTGTTTGTATTGAGAGTTGGTATTAATATATACTCAGGAAGTTTGGAATATTCTAAGCAATGTTGGTAATTCGTGCTGGATCGTAAGGAAGCCAGTGACTGGGCAGAAGGCTCTAGAAAATTAGTTGTTGTTGGAGAGCGTCCTAGAATTGTTGAGCACGAGGTAAGAGTTTAGTGCTAGTAAGTTCAAAGTAGAAGGTAATTTTTACTCTTCGTCATATTAATTGCGAATCGCTTGTTGGGTTTGTAGAATGCCTGATGCAAGTTTGTTGGGTTAAATGAGAAGTATGTGCAAATCTTTATTGATCGGGGTGCATGGGGAGTTTGATGCCCATCCATTTCAATTCATTTATAATATATGAATGAGTACGCATAATTGTATGCCTTTAAAACATTTATTTAGATTAAGATACAAGGGTTTTTTTTCAAATATCCTTTGTAATTTTTCTCAGTACACATTGAACTGTAAAATACTTTTTGGACTTTGTGGTTATGATTAAATTTAATTTGGCAGGGATTGTATTAGATGGTAATGTTGCTTGCTAGTAACCTTGTTTGAATTGTGAGGCTGGTTCTTATTTTCTTGTTAAATGTTAGGTGACAAAAAGTAATTAAATTTTTCTTTACCTGTGGGTTTACTAATACAGGTTTGAAAATTTTGTATGTACTTCAGGGTTTGTAAAACTAAGTTGCCCATGGTAATTATTAAGCACTGTACCATGGAGATGTATTGAGATGTGGAGGTGTAGCTCCTCTATTTCTTAACCTCATAATTAGATGAAGGTAAGTGGTCAGCTTCATGCCATTCTCTACCCAAAAAAAACAACATGTCTGTAGTCGTCAGATTAAAACAGTCTTGTTTTGTGTATATCTGGAAATTTGTTCCTGCGAGTAATTCAAGTTTGGTTATAGGTTCAGACATGTGTGCACATGATGACACCACGTTAAACCTCATTCATATTACATGTAGGCCAGGAATCGTCTCTTTGTTAAGCAGTTTTTATTAAATACGAAACTGTAACTAACAGCAACATAAATGTGTAATTATTGTTCAGGTGTTTTAGTTTCAGGTATGGATGCTGAAATGACTGGAGCTACAGAAACAATTCTTAGCCCCAGTTCTACTGCAGTAGACATCTCACCTGATAAAGATTGTGGTATATTGAAAGAAATAATAAAAGAAGGTGATGGTATTGAAACTCCAGCCCATGGCAGCCGAGTTTTCGTACATTATGTTGGAACTCTAACAGATGGAACAAAATTTGATTCTAGTAGAGACAGAGGAAAGCCTTTTGAGTTCAATCTTGGAAAGGGTAAGCAACTGGTTAATACTGAGACCCCCTGAATGTAAGTTTGCGTGCTCTACTAGCAGTCTAACCCATTTGGTCAAATATCATGCCGAGTTGATACTTGTGTAGATAACATTCAGTGATATTTACACCATTAATCTTCATCTTTCCTTAGACATCTTCACTTGTTTATTCATCTCCTCATTGGTTCTTTAGTCAACATCTTTTATTTGATGATGTTAAAGGAATCAACGTGTAACACCTGTACTACTCGTTCACATCCAGGCCCGTGTGTTATTTTTTTTGGTGCTTCCGTTTTTAGCTCACTGGACTGCTAACTTAACCTCCAAGAGACAGCGGTATAAAAATTCCATCTAGAAGACAACTTATTATTTCCAGAGTTGCAGAAGAGGTATTTTGAGCTGCAGCCTAAAGCTGTCCAGGCTGCTGCATCCAGCCCTTTCACTACTGAAACATCCATCCAGACAGTGTTCTCATTGAACCTGAGACTGATGATTGGATTCTGATGATTTAAAGGTTCACACCCCTACCAACCCAGGATGCACACAAAACCAGCCAGAGGCCCACAAATCTACAAAATTGTCCCCTCTGAAACAGAGCCCTTCTGATCTATGTCATGATTACGGATGGCAAGAGCGACGGCACCGGACCAGCCCGTAATCATCCTACAAGGACCTTGATATATCTCTCTCTCGTGTCATAGAAGTGCAATTGATTGAGATTTGATTTGTATGTACTTCCTTACTCATTTGTCAGTCTGATGATTGTGTTCGAGCCAAAGTATTTTGTGTACTGTGTTATTCGAAGAAAGTTAGCAGGAAACAATTCCATTATGGGCGAGTCCACTAGCCCTGTTAAACAAGCGGTGAATTTTAAACTGTTATTCCAGAATTATTGGGTATTTACCTGTTAATCACCGTAGCTTATTCTCAGTAATGTTTCCGTTTTATAATCAAGGCTCTCCCAGTAACTGTCTGCATTTGGAATGGCAATATTTGCAGCACTGACTCACAGTGACACCCCCAACTCCCTGAATCCCTATAAGTGGTTTCTTACCTGAGTAGGATTTCTTATGCAGATTTGTTTGTATGAGGAGTTTTCACAACTGCGTATTCTATGTTGTTTGTATGGCCTGTGACGCTGTTGAACTTGATTATAATGTTTAACGGTGTGTTTGTGTTGTCACATGTTGGACGGTGGCCAGACGGATGGCACAATACCTGGGTTTTGCTTTGGAATTATGTGGGGATTTTTCGTTCCCAAGGCTTTGTGGATGCAACGCAAGGGTGGCAATATATAGGGGGTAGCTATATCGGGGTTTGACTGTATGTTTATTTTATCTGACATTTCCCAGTTCCAAATGAACAGTCTTTTAAAATGTCCCTTCCTTTCAGGCTTTCTGTTAGCTTTGCTTCGATTTTTCTGTTTAGCAAAATGCTTATACACAAATAAGAAATGCTTACAATTTCCCTGAAATGTTTGTTTAATGTTATATTTAAAATTCTGCATGTCTCCGTTAGTTTGCAAATAATTCGTAAGGGTAATAATTTTAATTGAAGTCAGTTGTATTTTTTTAAGGAAGTGTTATCAAATCATGGGACGTTGGCGTTGCTACTATGAAAAAGGGAGAAGTTGCAGTCTTCACATGCAAATCTGAGTATGCATATGGGAAAAACGGGAACCCACCTACAATTCCACCAGATGCCACTCTGATATTTGAGGTTTGTTTCTATTTATTTCCTTCGTGGCTGTGCGTATATGCAGTGTTATATGTACACTGTACGACAAAAATCAAATGCTTGAAATTTTCTGAGTCCCGTGCTGGAAGTGACATATAAGTGTACAGCTGGCATCATAATTCCAGTCATTTGTAATCTTGTTTGTTTGTGGTCTTTCTGTGCCTTCCATTAACTGCAATGACCTATCCCAGAATTATGATAAACAAAGATACCGATGTATCTGTCTTATTTGAAGAAAGACATGAATATTTGTTAATTACTTAGGTATTCCACTACAGACAAAAAGAAAATTCACTTGGGAAGGGTTAAATCATAATGATGAAGAATAATAAGTCATGGAAAAATTAAAGAAATACCTGCTTCCCCCACATTTCTATCCTTGCTCATCTCGGTAGTTTTTAACGTATTGTAATCGAACTAACTTTTCATCTGTGCAAACTTATGAATTAGGAACAACATTAGCATCTTTCAAGTGTGTGCTGCTACCAGCGTTAAGTATAATTAAAAACAAATAAGGCATCATGAGAGTGCTCAATAAGTTAAGCAGGAACCAACATGAAATTTAAGGAACAGAAGATAATCACCCTTCTTGGGATTGTGGTGGCTGAGAGAGTACGTTTCTCTACGGAAAGAGTTTTAGACACTTTTTCACTCTCGTGAGCATCGTTAGATACATTACAAGATGGACACTGAAAATGTGAACAAAATCTGTCAGATTGCATGATGCATTGTTTCACAGAGTATGAATATCATTGCGACCAAGTCGTGTGGGTATTCACTGTTTCTTGGCTTCTATTTAACAACAATTCTTCAACTACACTGGTCATATAAATCATATGGTAGGGTGATTTGTGAATTTGAGAGGATATGTAAGTTGCCAAGACCTATTTTAAAGTACTGTTCCATCAATTACCTAGAATTGCTAGAAGAAGCCTTGAAACCACGGCCTAATATAACAGTGCTAACAACTTGACTATGACATTTCATACATGAATGTGATGTGTTCTTCGTCTTATAAGGGAAATGAATGAAAGTAAATTCTTTACAGATAGAAGTAATTGATTGGACAGGAGAGGATTTGAGCCAGAAGAAAGATGGTGGCATCATCAGGTACCAGATAACTAAAGGAGAGGGTTCCTCCACCCCTAATGAAGGTGCAATAGTAGAAGGTATGAACCCCCTTTACAGGGTTCTATAAATGATACTCATTTTAGTTAGATTTAAAAATAATTTATTACTGCATAATAATATTTGAGAATTTAACCAGGTAGCAGTTGTGTTACACAGCCTTTTACTGAAGTCTTTCTGCATTATGCGCATGGAAATGTTTGCTTAATATTTGCTTTCTTCAGCAACACTTAGGGGTCCGCAGTGGCCGCGCGGTCTGAGGCGTGGGCCTTGTGCCGCTTGGTCGCTGGGACCGTGGGTTCGAATCCCACTCAAGCCATGGATGTTTGTCCGCGTTTTTCTGTGTTGTGCTGTCCTGTGTACAGGTAGAGGCCTTGGGACGGGCCGATCCCTCGTCCAAGGTGTCCTACCAAAATGTCCATAGATGAAGCCAACGAAAAGTTGGGACCCGCAGTGCTCAGGCACTTGAAGAACGGGTCGTTCCCAGTATCCCCAGTATATTCCATTTGTTATTTTCCTACATAGGAAGGTAGTATAATATTCCAGCTTATAGTATTTTCATCATTATTAAGGTTATTTATTTATTTCTCTTTTTGTGGACACTACAAGCTTGTGTCGTTCTTGATCTTGTTATATTTTAAGCTTTTATGTATGTGGTATAATTTTGAAGTACTGTGTAAGCATGGTAGGTAATTAGAAGAGATTGGTACTGATGTCATGTTTGGCGTTCCTTCTTTATATATTCATTTCCCAAGTAAACAAATTCATTTACGCCATCAAACCATTTTCCATTCATTGGAGTGTAGTACCGTGCATCTGAGATGCGGACACAAGAATGTGAAGAGTTGGGATTTTGAAAATATTTGTTCACTGACTCCCATGCTCTCGTTTTAACTTGTAACATTGATTTGCAGTAACAATTGTTGGGAAACATGGAGATAGAGTATTCGAAGAACGAGAGCTGAGCTACCCGTTGGGAGAAGGTTCTGAATTTGGAATCTGCGATGGTCTTGAAAGAGCTATTGAAAAATTTAGGAAAGGGGAGAAATCTCGAATTGAACTGAAAGCAAAATATGCCTTTAAAGAAGAAGGGAATTCAGAACTTAATATTCCACCAAATGCTGATATTATTTATGAGGTTGAACTGAAAAACTTTGAAAAGGTAAGTGTGCAAGGCTTTCGGGCCCGTTGGCTCAGACTTATCTAAGGTAGGAAAGGTTTGGTAAATGAAGACAGTGTGTTTTATAATACATTTATATTTATGTTTAAAATTCCAAGTTCATAAATTTCACCCTAGCAGAAACTTTCAGGGCTTGAATTAATATAAGTTCATTTTTGTAGGCCAAAGAAAGTTGGTCTCTGGATAGTGCCGAGAAAATAGAACAAGCTAAATTCTTCAAAGAGAAAGGGACTAATTATTTCAAAACTGAGAAGTACCCACTGGCGTTGAAGATGTATAAGAAAGTTGTAAGTTTTACGGAGTTTGACTCAGGTAAATAGAAACGTGTGTTGAATCTTTGAGTGTATGTCTTGTAAGCATTGTTTACTTTAATTTTTTTATATATTTATTTATAATTCTGAGTTGAAGTTTACGGAACCATTGCGTAGCTTGGACAGTTGGAGCAGGTTATCTTCTGCAATTAAAGTGATTGCGCTGATGCTTCATATCCATGTATGATTGTCACTTAGGTATGCAATAATCCAGAATTATGTCAGTCTCAGCCCCTGTAGAGTCTTTGCCTCTAATTTGGTACTTGTTACTTTATTTGACTTGTTGGTAATAAGGAATGAGATGGAATATATTAATTACTTAAATGTATGCTGGCTGGATGTCAAATTTTTAATTCTGAGAAATGGTCCAGACTTAGGGCATGAATCTGACCTCTTACATCTTAATTACAAGCTTTAGAATGTGTATATTATCTGTATGTATCTGATGTAACTTTACATTCATCTTTATGCTAAGGAAAATAATTACTTAAAATGTGTTCGTGAGAACGGTATGTTCATGTATTTCCTCTAAGAACCATCTCAATTGTAATTTTATTTGCAGGATTTCAGGGTGATCTTGACACAGAGCGAAAGGCGCTGTTGGTGGTGGGATATCTGAATCTTGCACTGTGTCATCTGAAACTTCAGGATCATGTTGAAGCTCGAGACCAGTGCGATGAAGCGTTGAAACTCGAACCTTCCAGTGAGAAGGGCCTGTTCCGAAGGTTAGTCTCAAAGCTCAGAACTTTGCTTTCCAATGAAGGTGAAGAGCTCGTATATTGGTGTTTATTAAGGATGTCACTTTTTTGGTTTCCTCACTGCGCATTGGCATGAGTGGTTTTCCCAGTCTAGTCGCAAATAAGCTGCGACTCCCAGTTCTTGGTTTCCTTAATTTTTTAAATATAAAATGAGCGTGGGATATCAAAGATGGTGTGATGCATTTTTCTATAGAATTCTGTAAGTAAATGAAATTGTGAATGAATATGAGCACATACAGGGGTATACAACCACATATACGCATCTGTTTTTCCATATTATATAAAAGTATATAGTAGGCCATGAATGAGCAGTCTCTTGTTTCCATGCATTATTTCTGCTCCGTGGTTGCTAGTAATATTTGGTTGTGAACGAGTCAAGATGTCCAGATAGACCAGTTTAGTAAAATTGTGTCAGACAGCTCTGTAATCGGAAAGCAACTGGATAATCCAAATGGATATTTTGTGTGTTCTTATTCTGACTGCAAGTTCATGCCTCGACAAAGATTACGAGTCATATGATTGAAATCTGAGAGAAGATTGTGTTTTCGTAATGTGGATCCTCTGTGATGTTTGTACAGGGGACAAGCAAATCTTGGGTTAGGAGAGCCAGAAAGAGCCAAGGCTGATTTTGAAGCTGTTCTTAAGCTGGAACCAAACAACAAAGCAGCAGCTAATAACGTTATCCTGTGTAACAAGAAAATTAAAGAACAGGAAGGGCGAGAAAAAAAGATATATGCTAACATGTTTGAGAAATTTGCTCAGAGAGACAGAGAGGTAGGTACTACTATCGAAACGGCTGAAGTTAACTGAAGCTTCTCGATACCGGCACGTATTAAGGTTATTTTGTTCAAGAAATATGTTAATTCCACGTCTACCAACATCATCTGTGTATGCTACGGAGATAAGAAATTGAATGCAGTTTGTATTTGCTACAGAATGATGTATGAAATTCGTTTGTTTTGCACTTGCAGACAATACATATTTTAATTATTTTTACATTTTCAGTTTGTTATTTACTTCAAACTAAACTACCGCTACTACCATATATCCTCAATTGTATTGTACATTACAGAATCGTTTAAGCTTGCATAGTTATTTGAAACATGAGTGAAACAATCAACAGGTATATGTACCACGTGTGTCCGGATGCAAGGAACATTCTTTTTCCTCCAAATACTCCCTAGAGAATTGACTGCACATTATATTTTGCATATTGAATTCTGATAGGTAACTAAAAAGTGTTTGTATATAAATAAATCTAAAGTCTTCACTAAAATCAATAGGAGATATTGGGGGGGGGGGGAGTGCAGAAGGTATTAATTGCATAGTTTTTTTTCTATTTGTATGGGAATTATATACAGTAAGGATGTCACTTAATATATTGGTTTAAAAATTTTTGTAGTTGATTATAGTTTTTTTGTTTTTGTTTTTGAACACGTGAAGTAAAATGTAATATGAGCCGGGATAGCTCAGTCAGTATAGTGACTAGCTACGGGCTGGGCGACCGGGGTTCGATCCCCGACGGGGGCAGAGAATTTTTCCTCTGCGTCCAGACCGGCTCTGGGGCCCACCCAGCCTCCTCTACAATGGGTACCGGGGTCCTTTCCCGGGAGTAAAGCCGGCCGGGGCGTGATGCTGACCACTCACCCCCATCTAGTGCCGAGGTCAAGGAAGAGAGGAGCTATACCTCCACTCACCCCAAGCGCCTACATGGCGTATAGTGGGACAAACTTCACTTTTTTTAAGTAAAATGTAATGGGCCTCGACATTATTTACAGTTTCAGAAATATGTTCATTGTTTGGTAAAATTCCTTCTTTGTATTGAACCACATAAATTGTTAAGTATGAAGATTTGAACATAAACAAGCAGCGTACACTGGAGTTGATTATAATTGGCATTGAGGTTATGTTGGAAATGGTAGTAATATGTATTAATCCTTCTTCTCTTTCTTTCCTTCTTATTTTGACAGTACACATAAATACTATATGGTTGGTGAGGTAATCTTGATGTTGACCCATTTGAAATTAAAGATGACAAAAAATCTCCATTTATACGTCATTCGAACAAAAAGGAAACCACCCCTAAATCGGTTTGCTATCAAGGATTTAAATAATTTAGCATCTTGATCATCTAATGATTTATCTGAAGGAAGGAGTGGTTTTAACAACGTACTACAGATGTATTAAAGTATAAAATTAATATAATATCTTTTGGTTATGAAAACATCCCTCTTTTCTAGAAATAACTGCCGAAGGATGTTGCATATTCTTGTTATGTTTGTAAATATTACTTTCCTCAGTAGCTGTACTACTTAAATTTTGTTTGACCCTGAAATACCTTCTATAATTACAATGTATGAGTGGAATTATGTCACATTATGGTCAAACTCTCCTATATAATCACCATTCATGCTTTCAGCTGATTTTCAGCTCATTCCAGGTATAAATTTAAAGTAAAGCTTTTGTGGCGACTGAAGTTGACAAAAGACTCTTGGGTTACAGCGTTGGCAGAAGATAAGGTTTATTCACCATTCAGCCACCTGGCGCGGCTTGTAACCCGAGAATATTTCATCAAATTTAAAGTAGTAGTACGTGTTTTCAATACTGGTAGTAGGTTAGCATTGTGTACCATTCCGAGGTTCTGCCGTCAGATTCCACTCGTGAAGAAATTGAGAGATCAGATCAGATTTGGGGAGTGCTTGCTAACATGTGTATAGATTAAAATATATTAAACTGATTTTTCATGTCTTGTATGGGAGTGAAACTTGGTTTTAAATTAAGGGAAGAACAAAGATTGTGTCTGAGTACGGAAGAGAATATCTGGACCTAAGTCAGATGAAGTGGCAGGAGGCTGGAGAAAACTACGTAATGGGCATTTTCATAATTTGTTCTCTTTACTGGATATTAGGGTGAGGTGAGTGGGGCATGTAGCTTGCATGGGGGTGATGAGAAATGCGTACAAAATTTTTACTGGGAAGCCTGCAGGGAAGGGGCTGCTCGGAAGACGTAGGCATAGAGGAAAGATGATACTGAAATAAATCTTAAAGAAATGGGTTGGGGGGGACAGGGTTCATCTGGCATGACAGGGACAGTCTGTGAACATGATAATGAACCTTTCGTTTCTATAAAAGGCAAGGAATTTCTTGACTAGCCGAGAGTAGTGTTACTCAAAAAATTCTTTTCTTATAAGTTAGATGGTGTGACCTCTTTTGGCCTTAATGTTTGTCATCTAATAGTATTTTTAAGCTGTTCGTATTCCTGTTGGACGTAAATTTTTTTGTTAATCTTTCGGTTTTGTTGAAACAGTTTATTTTTTTACTTTCAAAAGTTGCCATGTAAAGATGTGCTTAGTCAGAAGGGATAATTTATGGAGGATACCAAATTTGATTAGACAAGCTGAAGACAGACACACTGGATTATGTACACTCTGTACAACAAAAAACAAGCATTTGAAATTTTCTTTCTAAGTCCCACAGCTGCCATTATCATTCTTTTTTTGTGTGTGTGTGCGCACGCGACATTTTTGTCATGATTTAAAGGTTCCGTGTTTGAATCTGAGCATACACAAATTATTTTATTTGCAAAAACATACTTCAGAATTGTTTTTGTTCTGCAGAGTATACTAATACTATGCTATAATGATTTATACAAAAATATGAATTAGTATGTTGGTCTTTAAAGGGGTGTTTTCAAGACCTGGAATCTTAATTCTTGCTGGCATGAACTCGGCGTAACATGTCAGTTCCAAAGTAAAATGTAATGGGCCTCGACATTATTTACAGTTTCAGAAATATGTTCATTGTTTGGTAAAATTCCTTCTTTGTATTGAACCACATAAATTGTTAAGTATGAAGATTTGAACATAAACAAGCAGAGTTATGTGTCAGCGTACACTGGAGTTGATTATAATTGGCATTGAGGTTATGTTGGAAATGGTAGTAATATGTATTAATCCTTCTTCTCTTTCTTTCCTTCTTATTTTGACAGTACACATAAATACTATATGGTTGGTGAGGTAATCTTGATGTTGACCCATTTGAAATTAAAGATGACAAAAAATCTCCATTTATACGTCATTCGAACAAAAAGGAAACCACCCCTAAATCGGTTTGCTATCAAGGATTTAAATAATTTAGCTTCTTGATCATCTAATGATTTATCTGAAGGAAGGAGTGGTTTTAACAACGTACTACAGATGTATTAAAGTATGAAATTAATAGAATATCTTTTGGTTATGAAAAGATCCCTCTTTTCTAGAAATAACTGCCGAAGGATGTTGCATATTCTTGTTGTTATGTTTGTAAATATTACTTTCCTCAGTAGCTGTACTACTTAAATTTTGTTTGACCCTGAAATACCTTCTATAATTACAATGTATGAGTGGAATTATGTCACATTATGGTCAAACTCTCCTATATAATCACCATTCATGCTTTCAGCTGATTTTCAGCTCATTCCAGGTATAAATTTAAAGTAAAGCTTTTGTGGCGACTGAAGTTGACAAAAGACTCTTGGGTTACAGCGTTGGCAGAAGATAAGGTTTATTCACCATTCAGCCACCTGGCGCGGCTTGTAACCCGAGAATATTTCATCAAATTTAAAGTAGTAGTACGTGTTTTCAATACTGGTAGTAGGTTAGCATTGTGTACCATTCCGAGGTTCTGCCGTCAGATTCCACTCGTGAAGAAATTGAGAGATCAGATCAGATTTGGGGAGTGCTTGCTAACATGTGTATAGATTAAAATATATTAAACTGATTTTTCATGTCTTGTATGGGAGTGAAACTTGGTTTTAAATTAAGGGAAGAACAAAGATTGTGTCTGAGTACGGAAGAGAATATCTGGACCTAAGTCAGATGAAGTGGCAGGAGGCTGGAGAAAACTACGTAATGGGCGTTTTCATAATTTGTTCTCTTTACTGGATATATACTATACTATAATGATTTATACAAAAATAATAATTAGTATGTTGGTCTATAAAGGGTTGTTTTCAAGACCTGGAATCTTATTCTTGCTGGAATGAACTCGGCGTAACATGTCAGTTCCACATTAGATTACCTATTCAGCTACAATAAAAAGAAACTTATAATCATATGACAGGAATCTATGTGTGTGTAAATATTTTTAAACATTTTCCTTGTTTATGAGATGGATGTGCCTGCTTCTTTGAAAGCAGACGATTGAATCTCGGTCTGATACTTGATAATGCCGCTCTCAGATCGTCCTCAGCATTTCCAAGGCGTGCTCATACTTTGTCTTAATATATGATAATGCATAAAATGGTGGTTTGCAAATATAATATGTTGGAAATGGCAAGAACACATTGTCAGTTCTGCCACAACTGGGTATTCATTTTTGATGGTTAACCAAAAATTACATTTCATTATTTCAAAATACCAGTTGAAGGTTCCTTTCATTTGTCAGTTTTGGAGAAAGTCAAACTTTATGGGCACTGTTCATGGTTGATAGTGGGATAAATAAATAGGTTTCTTGGTATTTTATCTTCTTTCAACCTCTACGATATTTGATTCTTCTATGGTGCTTGTTGCTGAAGTAGTGGCAGAAACATTTTCTGATGTTAGACGTCCACTGGCACTTGTGTTAGGTTCGCCTCTAATGCCTTCATGTCTTAGCATTAGGGTGACTGTCCATGGTAAAGCATTTATTAAAATTACAAAAAAGTAATGTAAGAAGATGGAATTTATTACCCACACTAACAAACGCATTAAGAAACAGTATCACCAACCTTTCAACAAAAACTGCTCATAGGATACTGGACTGGATGAAAAGTTTGGGTTCATAGCCAGATTTCTGCAGGGTTCAGCTGGTACCATTAGATTCATTCCTAACATTATTAAGAGGGGTTCAAATTATAATGAAAAGAGTAGGCAGCTGTGACGACATGACAATTACCGGAGTAAGATTACTATGGAACTAATCTGTATGGCTGAGATTGACGGAACAAAACCAAGACATTGAAAGTAAACATTCGGCAAAATCGGGGAGAAGAGGTATAGCTCCTATTCATTCTCACCCTCCACATTAGATGGGAGTCAGTGGTCATCATGCCCCAGCTGTGCCTTATCCCGGGGAAAGGACCCCGGTACTGATTGAACGGGAGGCTCGGTGGGCCTCAGAGCTGCTCTGGACGCAAAGGCTAGAAGAAAATTCTGTGCCTCTGTCGGGGATCAAACCCTGATCATCCAGCTTGAAGTCAGTCACTATAATGACTGAGTTACCCCGCTCTGCTATAATACCGCTGTGTTCCGTATTACCAGCTTTGAAGCCTGTGCTTTGCGTGTGAATGTTAACCACAGAAGGGTTAAAATTGCACAGGCGTTTATGAGATGAATTCATAATTAATTTAGATTATACAGTAAAATAATGTGTAATGTATATGTTCAGTATATCATAATTCCTCGCTAACCTGGAGCATTGTAACAGTGAAGAGCGTATATTGTGAATGGTGATTTATATGGGTTAGTCTCATACCCAGTTCATTGCTGGTGATTGTAGCGATATTTGGTGTTGTGGAGAACGTAGCTTTTGTAGCTCTTGCTACAAGCTGCGTGGGTGACACTTTGCAGAAGGAGGAAGAGTGGCGGCGTAACCAGCCTGATGTCATGAAAACCTTAGGCGAATGGGGTCAAGATGAACGAGAACGTGAGATGACAGACTTTGAACGCGAGAATCCGAACATCCTCATGTTGAACAGCACTAGTGATGAATTCAAGAATATGTGAAGAGAAGGTGGCTTTTTGCACACAAATGTTCAGTCACATTTGCATGAATGGATGGTTTGTTGAGACAAGTAGATGATTGCAGTGGAAAAATGTTGCAATAAAGTAGAGTACAACCTGTCTTTACCAGAATTATAAAGGAATTACACAGTTTTCCATTTCAAACAGGTTTTAATTTAATACAGACAGCGCAGACTGCTATGTATTTATGATACAAGTAATTTGTTAAGACATTCACGTTACATACATGTACTTGTTTAGTTTCTGTTTTATCCTTCCCTTCTATTTTTTTTTCAGAGGACATTGACAATTATTAAGTCTGCCAGTTATGGTTTACAGTATTGGAAATGACTTTCTGATCTTTTGTCCAATTTCTGTGTATATTAACGTTCATCTTTACATTCTGTATTTCCATTTAGAACTATTGCTCTGTCTGTCATCAGTGCTATCCCTTAATTTGTGATTTATTTATCATGTTTCCTCACTGACCTTTTTCATTTCTCCTTATATCTGCATAAATGTAGCCCAGTTTTTTGCTGTTTGTCTTTATTTTTACGATTTAAGGTTCTCACGGTGGTGAGTACGAAGATGGCCGTCTTCTGGGTTGTAGCACTGCGTAGTCTCGTAGAAGTGTGGCCTTGCTGCGCTACAAGACTTCATGGCACTACAGTCCAGAAGACATAATTTTTGTTTGTAACGACCTTTCTAATTCAAGTTTCTGGATCAGTAGTTGTAAGTCTTTTGTCTACGAATTTCTTTCTCAAACTTCTAGTTTCCTAGCATCTCTGTGTGTCTCCAGCCTACATCTTTATTGCACATAGGACAATATTTTCCCTAACACCCTTCAATCTTCAGATACGCATTTTCTACTATCCTATACCTCCTCTATCTTCCTGCATACTTAATTAAATGTATACTTTATTTTCCCATTACTCTTCGATTCATTGCAAAATACCAGTGGTATTTTCTCTCTATATCCACACACCTTTTACTTAAATTCATATTCTTTCTTTCCACTTCCATATTAAACAAGTAATTTTACTTCATTTTTCACTTTGGTATTTTTGAGGTAAATTTTCTGTTAAAGACAGGTTTTAATTTAGTACGTCATGTTTCATACAAGATTTACTGTAATGAAATAATATTTGAAATGTTTACATCTCCACTAGTTTGTTTCTAGTGGCATTGTTAGCTGTTGGTAACATTTGTTTTAAAATGAATTTGCTGTGATACACATGGCTTCAGCATAAAAGAGAAATGCGGAAAATAATAATATATGAACATGTAAACAAGAAGGTATTGACAGTAATAAATCAGTATTTGTCCTTATGTTATGACATTTTATACTTTTCTATTACAGTACCAACACAATTGCAGTGAATTCCCATTTATCCAGACTGATGAGGGGAGAAGATGAACGAAGAATAATGAAACATGGATAACACAAAATATTTTGTTTGGTTAATTCACAGAATATCCCAAATTATTTAGCCTTGATAGTTTACAGTATTGTTGGGATATTCAAAGAGAATTTTTTGACGTAAATACGTCTATACGGAAGGGTCATTCAGCAAAACAGCGTTAGGAAAATGTTTAAGATCCATACCAACAATGTGTAAATATGGACCGACAATGGTCAGCTTTTATATGAACTCCTGCGTGCATAACAATGCAAGAAAAAGGATTTGAATTTCTAAAACGCCTGCAACAATATTGGCTGAGCATGCCGTAAGGCTTTCTCATTTATTATGCATGCTGTATAATTGCCTGAATAAACCGTATTGCAATCCACTCCTATACCTAAGAAACTAATTGTTATGTCGTCTGTTTATTCGGCATTGTTGTGTTTCATTACTGCTGCCAACAATCCGCTTTCGTTATTGCGGAAAGAGCTGAGCTGTGAATCGCTTGTAGAAGTGCGTCGTAGAGTAGATAATATTGTGCTGTTAAAAACGTTTTAGAATATCACAAGTACTTATCTTGTATAAGAATTATTAAGAAATCTGTGATACTGGCATCCACTCTCTCCATTTTAGTTTTGATTAAATTGGACATCGTGGTCTCTTACAGTTGAACAAAGTTTGAGGTAAGGGATTCCTATTTATTATTGTTCATCACATTTAATGTTTTCATCTGCATTTGTGAACTTGTGTAAGAGAATTAGGCTTGTCTTCTTTTGATGTAAATATGTCTATACGAAAGTGTCATTCGGCAAAAATAGCGTTAGTTAAGACGAAGATGTGTAGACTCACCACCGTGAAAACCTCAAATCTTATAATTTTAAAATTTGCAGTTTGTAATTATGATTCCATTGCAGACAACAGTGATATAACAAAATGACATAAGTATTAAATATAAATCTGAGATACCAAGTAGGATTTGATGTTTTCGGAGTGGTGAGTGTGAAGATGGCTGTCTTCTGGGTTGTTGCACTGTGTAGTCTGGTAGAAGTTTACCAGTGTTTTAGAGGTCCTTGCTGCCTCCACCATTGGTAAACTTCTACCAGACTACACAGTGCAGCAACCCAGAGGACAGCCATCTTCAGAAAGACCAAGTTTGAAAGAAGAATGTATAATAGGAAGTATGGAAAATGAAATATGGTGTATAAAATATTATACGTATCAAATGCCAGAACTCAAATATATGTCGAAATGAAATATGGTATTTTTAATACGATAAATGAAGCATGGAACATGAAATTCCACGTATTAAGTGCCATACATGGTAAATGAGACACCAAATATGGAATATGAAATAACATTAAATCAAGGATGAAAACTTAAATTTGAAATATGGCACATCCAATGTGAGAAATGGCATACCAAATATCAAAGTAAGAAGTATAACATATGAAATCTGAAACATAAAATACGGAATATGAAATACCGAATGCTCAATACAGAATATGAACCATCACACACTATAAAACATTAAATATACAATATAAAACACTACCAAATATGATTCACGGAATATCATATACCAAGTAAGGAATTGGGGTATCATATATGAAATACCAATTACTATATATATATATATATATATAAAAAGATGTATAATCAGATACGATAACCTTGAAATAAAATTAATGTAACCAGCCCTGTCATCTTATATCGTGCTAATTTGAGTACTTTCAGATAGTTGAATGTAGTCAAAGATAAACAAACTCCGGTAATGGAATTGTGCACCACCAACCACAGGGAGCTGGAGAAAGCAGGTGCAATACAATTGTAGCTTAGAAATGACATGTAGTTTATACTTTGAATGTTCGTGACAAGACGTCGAAATTGTAATATAATCTTCTTGTGTTGTGTATTTGACTTCACGTATTGGTTAAAATGAATATTTATGTTTTTTGTCGGAATTACAAGGTACGTGATTGTATACCATTTATGGATGTGTAAGGTTAGAGACGACAATTCATAATTGTGCAAATGGAAATAGCTTTGGCATGCGAAACATCAAGGAGTCTTCGAGAGCAGAGTATTTAACATAAATAATGTTTGCAACAGTTTGTACGAAATTAATTAACCACTTCGAATTTTTATTGGTCCTGTGGAATGTTTCTGTTGCCAATCGAATACCTAGTGGGCATGATCCAAATAGAAGAATGAGTGTATACATCTAAAGCAATCTTGAAACATTGAAAAACCAATAAATAACAGGAAATAAGAAACTTCTGACTCATCGTGCAACATCAATTGGATTTGTACAAATAAAATGTTTCTACTGCAAACCAACATAATTGTTTTTCAAGAAATTTTAGCTGCAGTTTGATTTGGTTGAGTATTAGCTTTCCTTCACTTCGTTCTAGGATAATTTTTAAAAGCAGACTAAAGAATTTAAGAAGTAATTGTAAAAATCCTTCATTTGTCAGTTAAGTTTGTTGATAGTAATTGACTCTCTGACAGTATCATCTCCAACACCTGTTATACCATAATCCGTCATTTGACCTTCTTGCATCAGAACAATTAGAAAAATTATTTCTCTGAAGTGAATTTCTAGGCAAAGAGAGTATCATAGCATTTCTTACCCCTCTGTCATTGACTACAGAATACCTATTTAGATCAAACAGTGATAATGTAGCATTTTGGCTTGTTTTAGTTACACTGTATTACAGTGTTTTTGTACAGAGTATACATGTGTTAAACACAGAGAGATGCACGTGGCTAGCAGGCAGTTCTCGTGGATTACCCAATGTTTTATTTCCACATAGAATGAAGTTACTTTCCACAAGCGAAGGAAAACAAGCATTGAGTAATCTACGAGAACTGCCTGGTAGCCATGTGCATCACACTGCGTCTAGTACATGTATACTGTGTACAAAAACATTGTAATACAGTATAACTAAAATAAGCTGAAACACTACAGTAATTGCTGTAATTAATTTTATTTGATGCTCACAGTGTTAATGCTTAATAAAGATTCCTGCACTCTCAAATTATAGTCTTGAGTACAATGGCTGGGGCAGGTAACAGTGCTGATGGTACATCAGCAGATTACGAACGTCAATATCAGGAAGATCTGGAAAGGGCCCAGGCACTTAGTCTAGAAAGCTTGGCACTGGAGAAATTTCGGATCCAGAAGCAGCAAGAACTTAAACAGTTCCAGTTGACATCAAGTTCCTGTAATGGTAAGCATAACATTTCAAGTGCAAATTGAAAAATCTCAAAACATTATAGTAATTATAATTATATAAAGTAATTGTCATAGTTTGATAAGGTGTATTACTTTTGCAGGAATAGATTGTTTTTTGTGTGTGTGATGTTCGGTCTGATCAAAAAGCCCTTCAACCCATGAGAGACATAATGGTTTCTGTTGACTTATTCTAATTTCATTAGTGTCTTCCATAGTATTGCAATTTTTACAAAAAATACATTTTATTTATTGTGATCTGTGTGTAAGTGCATTGTCAGTAGCTGTGACTTTGTGTGTTGAATTATAGAATGATAAATGAATAATGCATTGAAAGGATGGAGGCAGTCAGGTTTGAATCACTGGCCAAATGCCAAGTATTTTAACAGGCTTTTGTTATTATCAGTCCCTTGATGTACATGCTGAGCTAGTTTCTTAAAATAGGTCATGACTGCTTCCATGTCTTCCCAATTTATTATTTAATATCATAATTCCATTTGACGCAGTGTAATGTCTGTAGTTGAGAAAGCATCATTAAATAAACAAGAGAAAGATATAGATTGATAGTGTAGATTGTAACTTTTTGATTATTCTGAACTTAGAATTGTTATTTTCATTCTTTTTTTGATTTTATGTTATCTGAATTGTTTCCTTCATTCTTGTTTGATTTATGGTAAAAGAAGTTTTATTCTGTTCATGTAGCTTCCTCTGCTGCAGTTAAAGATAAGCGAGCAGGTAACGAGGGAGTGGAAAAACAGGCGTTCCTGAAAGCCAGGCCTCGTCCGGGATCATTCAATACAGGGGGACCACGGGTACCAAGAATCTTAGCGCCGCCTCCCTCAGTACAGCGCCGCAACAGTGCTGCAGCCGATCTTATTACGTTTGGTAGCCCGGAGGGTTCACCCACCAGCCGAAACCCCCCGTGTCCTGTGTTGGATGAACTCTACAAATCCAGCAACTCTGCCACTGCTGAAGCGTCTTCCACCCCTTTTTCATCTCAAATACAGTATTCAGCATCTGTGTCTCAGTTAGTGGAAGAGATTAACGAGTTTACAACTACAAGGCTGTCTTACTTGCCACATCCCTCTGCGCAGCTTTCACGTATTCCAGTAGGCGTTGTGACGGATGCTACGACCCAAGCTTACAGTCCATTATTTTCAGGAATACCAGCACTTCAGTCTCCAGAGCAGGTTGCAAATCTCACAGATGCAAACCCTACTTTAGACGTGCTGA